GGTAATAACATTTAGCTATATGTAAAATTTCAATGTATATTATTATGTAGGATTTTCCAATCGGAGCTAATTAACTTGAATAAAAATCATTTTTACGGTGTTTATTATATGTGATAAAATGAAAAATGATCGGCAAATTATCGGCAAAATGATCTGCAAAATGTGATAAAATTAAGCATGACCGCTATGCTATTCGCAGTAATGATAGCATAATTACAATAATAAAATCTATAAATAAATATACTAACTTAATTTAGTATATGTTGTACAATTAGTAGAAATCGTATGATTAAATAATATAATGTACCCGGATACTAACCACCCGGGTTCTATTAAAATTTGCCAAATTAAGGGGATCCACTAATTGACCCTTTAAATAATTGGAATCACGTTATCGACGCGGCACATAAAAGTACCCGATCGTTTTATCATTTTTTTTTTTTTTTTTGAATTCATACAAATTACTTAAACTTGCATTAGACAAAATATTATAAAAAAAGGTAAATATTTTTATGGTTTACCATTCAGAATAACAAATGTCGGTGAATTTACAATACATTCAATATGTATGTTGAATTTACTTTTTTTACCATATTAAAAAAATTCTTTATAAATTTATCTTATTTTTCAATATTTTTTTTTTTTTTTGACAAAATAAACAGGAATATACATATTATAATCTTAGACCAAATTCCTCAATTCTCAAAGTTGAAGAGTATGTACCAAGATTCAATAATATAAATAATAGTGAAAAAGCTTTATTGTATATCGAAACGTTTTGTCATAGCGTATTAAGGAAATAACAATCTCACGACCGATATGACTAAAATCAATTAATTTTGTTCACGGTATAATTAGAAAATTTTTTATTTAATTTTAATTCAATTACTCCTTTACTTAAAAAGAATCGCAACCAGTTCCCTTTTCTCTTTAAATTTAGTGTTAAACATCATTAAAATCATTCCTTCTCGTTACTCATAATGAATCAATTAGATCACATCAGAAATCTCATGAATCGTACCTATCTTCTTTTGTCACCTAAAGATTTTATTTCTGAAAGAAATAAGAAAGAAGCGAAAGTACCTAATTCATTGACTATTTATCGTCGTATTTTCATCAAGACGATGGAATTAAACGAAATTCCTTTACCACCACCACATGAAATAAATTTACTTATAAGTGTTTCGTGGGGTAGAGAAAGTAAAAGCTTCAGAACTACTTGTAAAGAAATATCAGAACAAGTAAAGGTCGAACTTTCACTTACAAATTAAAGCTTACTTTAATGATCTTAAAGAAATTCATAGTTATATTTATCTTTTCGAGAATTAGATATCCTGTTATACTTGAAATAGAATCTGATTACAGTCAGAACTCGATATAGCGAACCTTCTGGTTTACTATGAAATTTTTTAAAAAAAAATCGGGTTATCAAAATTTATGTTCTATATAACGATTTTTATATGTTCAAATATAAAGTCAAAATTTTTAAAAAAATCGTTTTAACAAGATTTTATTAAGTGATCGTTATATCGAGAATCGTTATATCGAGTTCTGACTGTACTTCACAATTTTTTTTTTATATCATAATAATACATAATTTAATTTAGCTATTTGTGTAATAATAGATTACAAATCATCTAATAATTTAATAATTAAATTAAAAAAAACTATTTAAAAAATATTAATTATCAAACTTTTCTATACTTAAAGGTTTATAAATCAGTAAGATATAATAATTAGTAATTATTTTTAAATATAATTATTTGAACCTTTAGACTTTTTATCTTTATTGTTTTTAGAAATATCTTTAAATATACAATAATAAAATAAGTTTAAATAATACACATTAAAATTATTATTAAGGGAGACTTGGATAAAAGGTTAGAACGATGATATATATTACTAATAATACCACTATTTATTATATGTAATATATAAGATCCTAGCCAAAATATGTTGACGCCTTTATAAACACGTTATAATAATAATAAATCAAAGAATTATTCAACTTCCATGTCTCTTTCCGCTTTGAAATAAAACTGTCTTTTTTTGTTTCTTTTTTTTCTTGGTCCCTTCTTTAGAACTATCATTATATGAAGAATCATCTTCACTATCATTTTCATTTTGATTATTATCAGATACTATAGATGCAAATGCTCCACCTTGTCCCCATACATTTTTTTCTTGCCCATCATTTTTAGATCGAGAGGATGTTGGAGTCAATGGTAAGTTGGGAAATCCATTATTTTCAGCTATAGTAGGTCTACCTTTAACAAAAGCTGTAGTACATGAGGAAGTAGATTCATTACGTGAAGGTGGTTGAACAAATTGCGGTTCAGATCCTTTCCAAACATTATTATCATTAGCAGAATTACTAGCAGCTGTTGTGAGTGAAGGGAATGTTGAATTCTTTCCTTCCTTGTTTCTTGATTCAGCAATAGCGGCTATTTGGTCCCAGACACGGGTACCGCTATTTGTTTTTATACCACGAGATCGAGTAGTTGAAGATTTAATAACTAATACGCGAGCCGACGGTTTATTCCAGGAGGGTGATGAGGGTGATCTCGAATTACTAATCACACCAGGTGTGTGTAAGGAGACCGGTTCTAAAGCGGGGAAATCAGCAGTTCGCTGCAATATATAAAATAGTAAAGTTTATGTAAATGTAATTGAAATCATTATTTAACTATTGAAAATTATGTAATTCACAAATGCTTACCTTAACTTTATGATCTTGCCATGCCCTCAATAATTCAGTCGACTTTTTCTCATCCTCTAATATAGATACCAAACCTTTCACAACTTTTCCAACGGTGCCTGTATTTTTATTAAACAAAGGCAACAAAAATTCTATATACGATGATGCATCAAAGGTTGAATTATTGTATGCTGCAGTCAATGAATTGAATTCATCAATCTTAGCAGGATTATCGGATAAGTACGTATTGACACGTTGAAAAAAACCAACTTCACGACTAGAAAAAATAAAATAATAAATAAATCAATTAGGAACCTATCCAAAGTTTTACTGTAATGAAAAGGATAAGAAGAAATACCTCAAAGGTTCCGAATCAATGACACTAGAGAAAGCCTTTACCCTAGTACTAGTAGTACTACTACTTGTTGATGGTGAAGTTGATTGATTCGCGGACGGTAAAGGAGGAAAGGCAATAGCTTTTACTTTATTAGTAATATTAGATTCGGATAATGGTGCTTGAGGGGGATTAGGCGTGACTAAAATTCTACTACCACTACCACTAACACTACCACTAGTTGCAACTGGATATAGCGGAGGTGTAGGTGTAGGTGTAGGTGAAGGTGATAAGTTCGTAGGCGTAGATTTATTTCTCTGCTTTTGCTTATTGGCTTTTGTTTTGGCAGCATAATTTATATTTGTACCTGAGCCATTATTAGTAGCTACCCTCATTGAAGCATTCAGTGCAGGGAAATCTTCTTTCCGTGAAATAGAAAACATATTACGTATTTCCAACTCATTTTCTGATGGCAACTCATTCTCTGGTCCGGTCACTTCATCAGGAGACAAAACACCAAAACCTGGCGGTGGTCTCACTGCTCTCGCATTAACATTGATTTCATTTGTAGTGCTAGTAGTGGAATCTAAATTAAGATCCTGAGTTTGACGTGTCATATCATCAATTTCGGCATTTCTATCAACTCCACCGCCAACTTCACCGCCAATCCGTCTATCTGACTAAACATTTAAAAATTATTTAAAAATTTAGACACTTTGACTAATTTCAAATAAATATTTAAAAAAAGTACAAAATTTAATTATATTTTTTAAAATGTATAAAAAATTTTTTGCACTTGATTATCTCGTGTTGAAATGACAGGATATTCTTACCTGTCTTTCCTGTCTTTCGCGACTTATCCGACGTCTCCTATCGCGTGAATATGAATCTGCAAAGTTAATGTTAATATCAATTCTCCTCGCCTCACGTCTAGCTCTTTGTCCACTGAAATTAGATTCATGAGCTTCTACCTGTATAAATTAATTAAAATATAATTCAAACCTCTATTACTTCAAAATAAAAAAAGTTTTAACCATTAATAACTTACATCATGAGCTTTTAAGTCAATATCTGATTCAAACACGATAAATTTTTTTTCCAAGCATAATGGGTTTAAACAGCGAAAATGTTCCAGCCCAAAATGTTTTTCCTAAATATTAACAAAGGAATTATGATAAATAAATTTAATAAAATAAAATGATAAATTTATTATACATACCAATGCATGATAGTCAATATAATAACGATGCCTTATACCATTTCTAACGCAAATAAAACATTCTTCATGAGAATGACGACAATGATCGTAGAGTTCATCATCACCATAAAAGAGTGTTTCACAAAATTGACACTCAGGATGTCCACTAAAACCCGTTTCTTCATCACCATCACGACAATGCTTTTCAAGCCCTTTGAAAGTGAAAAGAGTATGTTCATGTGCGAAGATTTTTTTATTATGAGTACAAATATCACTAATAATTCAGAGTTTGTATTTAATGATAGTTCAACTTGTAATACTTTCTAATACTTAATGTAAAAGCTACATCTTACCATAACTTTAGATGATGATCTTTTTTAACGTGTCGCCTCAAATCTCCCCATCCATCACAAGATATTTCACAATTTTTATCTGGACAATTAAATTTCAACGTGAGCATTATATCATCAAACATTTCTTGATCCTCACAATAGACATTCAATTTTTTGTCAAAGAAGGGAATATCGTCTTCCTGGAATTCTTGGAATTTTTTATCGGGATTTCGGGTATATATAACCTTAATTCGTTCTGTCTGGATATTAAGTCAATTTAGATTTCTATTTAACCACGGTTATATTTTTTAATTAGCATCAAATAATAGTTACCTTACAGTAAGCGCAATTTTTAGATTTGTATAATGCTCTTAACCTCAACGAACATACATGACAAGATTTATGGTTACATTCTGGAACGGCATAATAATGAACGGTTTCTGCGCAGATAAAACATTCGTTTTCATTTTGAGAACCTTGATCTCCGTCCGAATTAGAAGGAACATCAGTGACGGTTGGAATAACGGTTGGTGTAACTTTATGGTTTTGACTAGCATTATTTATAGTTTGTTCTTGAGGGGTAGAGTGCCTATTTGGGCGAAAACCTCGATGTCTACGATAGTTGTTATGGCGACGATTGCCCCTATTGGAATGCTCAGGGCCAGTAACTGGAGAAGCTTGGGATTCCGAGTTTGAAGCGTTATACATTGTTTTTTTTTTTTAAAAAAAAAGTTTGTTGTAGATTAATTAAATTTTGTGAATTGTGAAGAGTTCATTCAATAAATGTTCGGATAAACTGTGTTTTAAATGGATGACCATATTATTAATCACTGCGGCTGCGGCATGCAAGACAGGTTTCTAAAATTCAAATGAATTCTATAGAAGTTGAATCAAAAACGACGTCTGTTCCAGAAGAAGCCGATAAAACAGAATATTGGGTATTCGGATATGGTTCACTAGTTTGGAAACCGCCACCAGCATATAATAAAAAGTTAATATTTGTCATTTATATTTGAAATCTTATTTCACGAGATTCGGAGTGCCAAACTAAAAAATATATAATACTTTAGGGTACCAGGATATATTAAAGGACATGTTCGGAGGTTTTGGCAGGCATGTACTTTCAATTATCAAAACCAAGTTTTATCGGCACCTTAAATTTAACGATTGAGAATATTTCGTGATATTATATGAATCATTACCTTTTCTTCAGCGAAGTACGGACCATCGAGGAACTATAGAAAAACCTGGTCGAGTTGTTACATTGATCCCTATTGAAGAGTGGAAATTACTTGACGATTTTGTAAGTCAATCTTTTTTTCTTTTTCTAGGTCCGATATCAATTAATTCAATTTTAATTCAATTTGATTCCCTAGCACGATCATAAAGAGGACGATGTTACTTGGGGTATTGCCTACAAAATTAGCGAGGAAGACATTAAGGAAATGATGGACTATTTGGATTATCGAGAGAAGGTTTAAGATCTTGAATTTTATTTTATTTTTTTTTGGAGAAAAGTGTACTGAATTTATTTTATTTTGTTTTTAGAATGGATACACTATACATTATTTGGATGTGTATCAGCTTGGAAGTGGAGAACCCATTGTAAAGAATGTAAGCCTTTATCCGTTCCTTTCAAATGATCGTAAGGAGTCAAAAAATAATATCCTTATATTAGGCGATGGTATATATTGGCACAACCAAAAATGAAGAATACGTCGGACCAGCTCCTCTTAATTCCTTGGCTTTACAAATATGTGAATGTATTGGAAAGTAATTTATGCTATCTTAATTGTTCAATATTATTTTTATTTCGCGAACTAATTTCAGTTTCATTTTCTCCCAATAGGTCCGAGCGGTTCCAATCGAGAATATTTATTTAAACTTGCATCTGCGCTTAGAGAAATAGCACCAGACGCATATGATGGTCATTTATTTGATCTTGAGGAAAGAGTCAAAAACATGATTAAAAAATCAGAAACATCATAGATTTTATATTTAAAAGTTCTGTTATGTAATTTATAATACATCAAATAAAGTTTAAACGTTAAGTTCTGGTGGAATAAAGTGACCTCTGCCATTTTTATTAATGAGGATTTTTTTTAATTAAGTGGGGAGTGACTATATAACAGGTGACTATAGGGGTCGACTGTATCTCCTATTAACGATCAACATGGTCATTGAGTTAAAATGTCAAACCGAATGGGTTACCTTTGTGCAAAATATCACACTAGTGAACTTTAAAGGGTACGTATTGGCTTTATATCCAAGCTTTCCTCAAACCGTTCGGGCTGCAATATTAAGACATATGTTTGGAAAGTTTCAATGCATATTTGTGCGAATTTGCAATTCGACCAAGAGTATCAACGTTGAATAGGAATAAATCGCTTTGAGCAACCTGAACGACTTCTATGCTTTAAGTCTTTTGTTTGTTCAAGTTGTTTGACCAACCATATACATAAAGTAACCCAGTCGTTTTTTGAAAGACGAAATCCAAGTTTTGACGTTCTCCAAGAAACCGGATTGGATCGTTAAAATGTTACTGTAACATCACAACGTTAATCCATTATTTATTATTATTATTATTATTTACAAATAGAATACATGGCTATGCAAACAACAAATTCGATCAGCCCTTGAAATTGAATCCAATATGAATAAACAGAGTTAGTCATATCATATCCCATATAGGTTCAAGTCCCAAAGTCAGGCCAAAACCTGATCCTCTGTTAACAACTTGAGTAAGATGTTTCTCATCCCGTTTGCATCCTGATCCATCTCCACCTTGCATGAATTATACTGAAAAGTCTTAGAACCATCCAGTTTGTCATTGTTTTTTCTGCAATGCCCACACATCTTAGAAGTATACTCCTTGGTATACACAATAACCTTGCAATACTTGTATTCTTTTATCTTGTGTAAAAAAAACATTTGAAATCTAAAATGTGACCAGGTTAGCATTGCATGAGTTGTCCTCAATCGGATCTTTCTTTTATTCTTGAGTATAATATGTGATGTTTCGAATTTGGGTAATAAAATGATCTCATAATTCTAACATAACCATTGGGTCAGCCGGTGATAGCATTTATCTATCAAATTACAGATTCATTGTATGATTTGTAGCATTTTTTTCAATTAAAATCTCTTTCTTTTGTTTATTCTTCCCAAAGTAAGATCCTTGTCACTCTGTAATTTATCATACTTTTGGATAATTTTGAATACTTTGTTAATATCATCGTTATCTTAATCAATCAATTGACTGTTAGGATTATAACTGGAAATAAATATGTAAATACCTGGATTTAGCAAGATTACCTTTTTACAAATATTATTTTGGTTGTCAATAATTTCTAAAAGAATGAAAATACATAAGTAAAAATGTCTCAGATAATTCATAGTTATGTTAACTATATTATTAATCTCCAGTGGTCATTCTGAAATGATGATATTCTTTAGGAATGTGTATTGTTTTCTATTCTCTATTCCAATCCCTAGTAAGGATCAAGATGGTTTATATTTGATTCTTTTTCGATTAATACTTTATTTAATAATTATTTTTGTACAACTTCTTATTTGTTTTGTTTACAATCATCAATTGTCAGATCACGTACAAATATACCTTTCTAAAAGTCTTTTTTACCATTCTTCAGTTATGAAGCATTCATTATTCAAGTAGTACTTTCATATGATACTCATGTCAGTGATCCCGTCATCTTGCACCATCTCAAAAACTTTATTATATGTCTATTTTATGATTTCTATCTACTTTCTTAGCTTTTCTCTTTCTTCAGGTATTGGATAAATCCGTCATGTTTTCAATCTCTCTTCATCATTTTCAATTATCAGCTGATCTGAACCCATAGAATCTTGCTGTGAAGATAGTAATGATTAATAATAAGTTCTTAGCAAGCTCATCTGATTTAATATCATTAATGTTAACATCTAAACTGAATATCATGATCTTTGTATAATGCTTAACAAAGATCCATTTGATCAGTTCAAAAGTGAAGCAATAGAGCCAGTCTTTGCAGATAATCACAATCTTTTTGATATTTCCTTGGTACGATTGTTTCAAAATGAATGTAAAAGCCTTGCATTTTCAGACTCAATTTTTTTGATGAGTTTGTGATCTAGATATTTCTGCCTAAAGAACTTTTTCTTTTTATTAATCCTTTCTTAATTTTCAAATATCTTCTTCACATCCACTATAGAATACAATCTGATGTTCTGATGCTTGATATCTTTCCTTGGTTATTTCACCTTCTCAATGTTTCATGTTTTTCAGATTTCTTATGCTCCTCACTATTATTTTTCAAAAAAAAAAATTTGATATGATTTACTTAAATATGTGAAATGTGACTTATTTATACTTAACAAAGAATATTAAATGATGTAATAATAAAGATTTATCAGATATTTAATATTATTAAAAATAACTAATACATAACAATCAATAAAAATAAATAGCAACATTTGTATTGTTTACAACTGTTACACTGATTTTGAATATTTCTGAAAAAATCACATTTTTGTAATTACTAATCCACTTGATGATTTAAATAGTTTTGTATAGATCTTCACATTTAAAATCAAATATAACGAAAAATAACTTTCAATAAACACAGTTCTGTCAATAACTCTCATTTCTAAACAAACCCCCACTTTTTTTACAATCCTGACTCAGAACAAGATTACCTATCAAAATGCAAGTAAAATCCAAGAGACATATGACATTTTAGTTGAAACTTTGCGATGATAGGCTAACTTCAGAAGAATTGCTATTGTCAGGACATTTGGTGGAAAATGACTCTATTCAATCACAGACATACAAGGAATCTTTGAAGACAACTAACAAACGCAATTCACCTAAAAGACAAAGATTTGCTACGCCAGAGTCAGTTTAAAATATCAACGAGACAACCTTGAACAATAGATTGAAAATCTTCGACAGCACTATCCAAAATATGAAATCATCAGCAACATTAATTCAGGGCTCAATTGAAAAAATAGGGGTTTTGTTGCTCTTCTGGAATGAATACACAAAAGAGAAATCGAGGAAGTGGTAGTTACCTGAAAGGTTTGAATTTTCTTTTTATTTACTTTGATTTATTGCTTTTATTATTTTATTATTTACTAACTTTTTTATTAGGACCGATTGTGTCGATTTGAACTCGAGCTTGTGAAATAGATCTTTGAGAAAAATAGCATTCAGTTCGTGGTATTCAGTACAGATGTCAGTGCCAAAAGTAGTGAAGCTGGAGAACTTGCAGAAGACTTGCTCTTGATCGTTATGGTATTTGTGGTAAGATATAACAGAATGTGTTCTGCTACCAACCGTAGAAAAAGATGAGAAGCCCAAGCCCAAGAAGATCAAGACACCAACAGGCAAAACACAGTGTATCCGTCTCTTTTCTATGTAAGAAAAGAAATTGAAACTCAAACGCTGGATGGAAACAGCACGATAGACTTACAATCGGTGTCTCATAGCAGTTGAAAAAAAGGGTATTATGTAAACAAAAAAAGCTCTGCAAACATAGTGTCTTAATGCTGCAAATTTTAATAATACTGAACTTAAATAGATCCTTGAAATCCCATATGATATTCATGTCGAAGGGATGAATGATTTACTTAAAGCATATTCAACAAATTTTGCTGCAAAATGGATGAAATTTAAGATAAAATTTCGCTTTAAAAAAGCTTGACAATAATCTATTGCAATTCTATCGAAACATTAGAGTAAATCAAAAGGAGTTTATGCATTTCTTTGTAAGATGAAGTCTGCCAAAAATCTTCCAGTAAAGCTTCATTACGATGCACGACTTGTAGTAAATCGACTTGAAGAATTTTACCTTTGCATTCCTCAACCACTTGATATATAGGCTGAAAATCAAGGTTCCACATAATCAAAGGATGCAGTGATGCTCTAGATCTGAATGTACAGACATTTATGACTGGATACGATCCAAGTGGACAAGCTATAGAATGAGATAAAAATGACATCAATAGAATTTACTGACTTTGCCACACTTATGACAAAATCCAAAGTAAGCATGACTTCCTTTATGGCAAAATACATAAACGAAAACGATACAAGCTTTGCAAAGTCATGCTTTCTATACATAAAAAATCTGCTGTCTTATTGATGATTGTCATCATAAATTTGCTAGTTGGTTATGTCAAAATTATCATATCATTTTGTTACCTAAATTCAAAACGCATGAAATGGTTAAGCGTGAAAAATGACAGATCTGTTTCAAGACTGCTCGGATGATGTTAACATGATCACACTTTTGATTCTGTCAATATCTTCTATATAAAGTTTGTGAACACTCATGATGCTGAGTAACTATATGTACAGAAGAATACACCAGTAAGACATGTGAACGCTGTGGCCATATCCATAAAAAATTAGGTGGATCCAAGGTGTTCTGTTATCACAGTTGTAGATCTGAGCTTGATCAGGATATCAATGGTGCTCGTAACATACTTCTTCGCTACCTTATCCTATTACATTCCAATCAAAACCAAGAGTCAGCTTATGCCAGCGTTGGGACCTACCTCTCGGGATCCTCGTGATCCTTGCAGAACATGTATTTCCTTATTAGGCATAATCAGTAATATGAGGAATATATACCGTATATTGCGGGCTATAGTACCCCGGGTATCTTGCAAATTTCAGGTGATTGACCTTGTACTACCAAGTCTATTACTTTTATAAATACAGAAATAGAATGTGTTAAAGACTTGTATAACTATCAGAAAATTGTTTAATGCATAATTTCTGGTTAAAATTAGATTTCTAAATAATAAAACAATAGAAAATGTAACTTTTTTCGGGTAAAAAAAGGGGGGATACAATACATGAGGGGGGATACTATGGCCCGCAATATACGGTAGGTTTAATTGTAGGCGTCTAAACCGTCGAAAATTCTAAAACATCAGATTTTTTTCCGCCAGAACTGTATGCACTGTGTAATATTTTATTTCCGATTATAAATTAAAATTTTCGATATTCGAATATTTGAAGATTCACTTTTTAAATGAGTATTCGAATATCCTATTTTCAAACGGAATCCCCAAGAGAGGGATATATTCAAAAAAAAAAAAAATATTAAATAAATAAATAAAGTTGAGTAAAAGTCATCATTTTATTTTGTATTTTATGATTATTATTATACTTGCTATGCTATTGTTAATAAATTCGGATGGATTGGTATGTTACTGGCAAACATTTGATATTTGAAGAAAGTAAAACAAATACATATTTGATATGACTCGTATTTATCAATGAAACTTATAGAAATCAAAAATTGTATATTACCTGCTACTAAATAAAAAAAAGATCCTCAAACAAAATTGGTTTTTAATTTGAATTACTTATAAACATACTGTACATGTAAATCTTCAAAAGGAAATTTCTTTTTTTTTCATTGAACTCTTAGATAATTCCTCGTTTGGATCCGAATGAAGATCAATTCAATTTACGTAAATTATGAGAATTTTTCCGACGAAAGGGGTCTTTTTTTTAAACGGACCTTTATCTCTTTCGATCCTAAGTTAGTGTTCTTTTGGACGCAGGAAGCGGATAAAAAAATAAATCTTTTTTTTTATAAAAAAAAATGATTCTCGAAAACTTTTGTTACATTTTATTAATTGATCAGAATTCACGATATTGTATTATAAACAATTAAATGAATACATTATAACTTTTTTTTTTTTTTTTTTAGGAAAAATGGTTTGAGACAAATATTTTTCTTCTATATTTCAATTTTAATATTAAATTTAACCATAATTCAATATTATTATCACAGAGAAACTCCAGTTTACATCCTAAACCCTAATTATATTAAAAGAATTTCATTAATTACCGTATTATATTTTGAATGTTTAGAACTTTTCGAATAAAAAAATATAATTAGTTTATGTTATTTATAAGAAAAAAAAAACATTGAAAAGCAACAATGATTGTGAAATTGTCCAAAAACATAATAAAAAAAAAGTAAGAGATCAGTCCCATTACAAATTTTTATCGAATTTTTCGTTATTGCGAATTTTTGATGTAGATACTGAAGAATCTGTAAATATTATTTTGAATAGGGAATAGGTTTCGTTAAAAAGGAAAAGAATTTTTTATTATTTCTCCACTCGCACTAATCCAGATCCATTTATGGAAGTATAACCGTTTCCGTTAACATCAACATTACCATTAGCAGTATAATCAAAACCATATCCATCATCATCTTTTTCTTCATTATTTTTTGAAAGTGATTGCGTGGGTAATTGATTAACATCAATATTATCTTTTGTTGTTGGTGTATCAGGCTTACTATACATATATGTAGCAATTAAAACGAATGTGGCCCCAAGTAAAAATGTTGAAGTGACGATGAATTCAAAGAGGTAAACGGAAGCGAGGAAACTAAGAAGAATTGAAATTGATGTGGCAAATCCTTTAAGAATGTTATCCGCATATTTGACTACCATAGCGACGATAATACCACCGATGGCTTGACATGAAATCGCTGCCAAAACCACGTAATTGTAATTGTAAAAGAATCCATTTTCCCATACTCCCGCTCCATCTTTCCACCAAACACCCATGATTAAAGCGGGAAAAAGTGAAAAGAATGAAAGTTGAACATTTCGAATCCAAACGGAAGTTTTGCTACCTTTGAGAACTTTTTCGAAATATACACCAGCGATACCAGAAATTACGCAGGCTACTGCTACAGCTCCTAAACCCACAAATCTTTCCATGTTAGCATCATCATCATCACTTGTTTGACTTCCAGATGATTCACTTGGCATTTGAACAAGTGCAACACCAAAAGTGAGTAAAACTAATGAAGACCATTTTAATCCACTTAAAGAAGTTCTGAGCATAATTACTGAACATAAAGCGGTTGTGAGAATTTTCAACTGATAAGTGACTTGAAAAGTTGCCGCGTCAAGCATGCTTACGGCGACATACTGCAAATTATTTTGAACTGTGTAGAGGGCTGCCGGGATCATTAATTTCCATGCGTCGGAAGCAAACACTTGAGAGTAAAGTTCTGAAATACTCAACCGCCCAGTCTCACGTATTTGATTTCGTCCGGCCATATAAAGGCAAATAATGAGCTTCGTCAACTCTGATAAAAATACGGCCGTCGATGTATAATATAAATTATCTTTATCGAGCCGAGAATACCTCATTATTATTACCAAAGTACTATTTTGAATACACAGTGTGACTAAACTGACATATTTTAAAGGGATGCCTAAAATCGTTCCTATTGCCATTATTAAAGATTTTTTTTTTTTTTACAAGAAAACTCGAGATGAACGAGAAAGTATTGTGGGTAAAGGGTTAAAGGGTCGAAAAAAAAAAAATTGTTTTAAAATATTCCTGATAAAAGGAAAATGTAAAAGGATTAGTACGAGTGTAACTTCGATTAACTTTTCGGGAAAAATCCTGCAGTACAACAATACGTGTTCATAAATATAAATATTCTTTATGGCAAAATAAGTTAACCATGTGTTAAAAATAAACCTAAACCCCAAGAAAAGGATCCACATATTATTTTATTTAACCTTTCGAAATAAATCGGAGCGGAACATTATCATTTTCTCCTCGTTTACGAACGAGCCGAATTAATATACGAAGCCATGTCTCTTGGTTTGAAGTAGATGTGTAAATATTTAAAATAAACACAATTCATAAAATTGTTATTTTTTTTTTCATTTTACACATTGCAATGTCAAAACATCGAAAATTAATCTATATATAGAAGTTGATTAGTTTTGATTGTTTCAATGACAAATTCGGAACAAACGGTAGATAACACCCGTATATTATATTTGATAGATTTTAGTTCAATATTTTTTTTTCCTGCATTAATAATAACAGGAAATTTACCCGATAGTATATATATTTCTAATTATATAATAATTTATTGCAACGCTTGTGTAATGTTAATTTCATTATTTCACTCTTTTTGAAAGTAGCACCAAATTTTGTCGACCTTTCCCTTTTTGGCTCCATTGAGATTATCAAGTTTAGATTTTAAATGTTTTTTCTCGTGAATCTCAATTATCGCAAAATATGGCTCATGAAAGAATTGAAAAAAATAAATTGCTTACCAATATGTTAAGGGCTTTAGAGGATCCTCCAATTCCTCCATTTCCAGATAAACCCTTTACCTTTTCGATTGTTGGTGCTGGCCAAAGGTAATTTGTATCCAATTATCGTATAATATGCGCTTGATACATTACCAATTTTAAATTATGTTTCAGAGGTACTGGATATGCGGATTATGCTACATCAGAACCGCGATTGGCCAAAGTTGTTGCCGTTGCTGAACCGGTTGAAATTCGTAGGAAAAACATGCAAAAGGTTTAATATAACTTGTAAATATGCTCTATTTACCCTCTGAAACGGTTGTAACTCATTAACCTTCAATTCTTAGAAATATAATATTCCTGACGAAAATTCATTTAGTGATTGGCGAGAAGTGTGTGACTTTTTTTTTCACTTTCAAAGAAAATACGTTCGAATTCATTTAGATCTTTGAATTATTAGCTCGCAAAACGACCTAAACTAAGCGATGTGGTGGTAATTGCAACTTTGGATCATTCTCATGCAGAACCTGCAGTTGTTTTTGCAGATCTGAAGTATCATATTTTATTAGAAAAACCTATGGCTGACAATCTCGAAGATTGCAAAAAAATCACTGAAGCAGCCATTAAAAATCAAGTACAGTACTAATAATATTAATTGAACTCAATAACTATTTAGTAAAAAATTAACGGATTTTGAAATTAAATTAGATCTTGTTTGCTATAGGTTTGTGCTTTATTTTTTCATATGCAATTTCTTAAAATAGATCTCGAACTCTATCATTCATTTTAGGTCACGTGCTAAGATACACTCCACATAATCTCCTCGTTAAAAAGATTATCGATTCAGGTTATTTGGGAAAAGTCATTAATATTCAACACCTAGAACCTGTGGGAAATTGGCACTTTGCTCATTCGGTAAGGAAAAATTACTGAGTTCCTCTGTGATAGGACCGTAACTATTTTGACGCGCGTTACACATCATTTTTAAAGATTTTTTATTTATCCAAAGTATGTAAGAGGCAATTGGAGAAAAGAACAAGATTCTTGTTTCTCTCTAATGACCAAGGTGCGACTTTTTTTAAGTAAACAAAATTGACATTGCCCGCGCAATTAAAATATTAATGATAATTTTTTTAGTGTTGCCACGATATTGGTAAGCGGAGAATTGTTCATATTATTAAAGATTCATATTATTTAAAGTTGATTTACTTTGAATTATAGATTTGGTGGCGCATTGGAATGATTCTCCGTGTGTGGTACTTAATATTTTAATACATTTGAATTTGAGACCATTTGCTAGAATATATTATAGTATTATATTAAAGGTTATCTTTTATTTTAGAAAATAAGTTCATTTGGGAATTTATCACACTTTACTTCAAAGAATAAACCTACTGAAGCTGGGAATACAAAGTATGTCACGTAATTTCTTTTATTTTTTTTATTTTTTTTTTAAAAAAAAAAATTTAAATCGTTTTATGTAGACGATGTTTGGATTGTGAATATGAACCTTCATGTGCATATTCTGCAAAGAAAATTTATATCAAATCATTTGAAAGTGGAAATCGGGAATGGCCTGTTAGTGTTGTTTCGGATGTTGTTGGTATATGAACTTTATTCTTAAATATAAACGAGAACGTATTGCAAGCGTTTATGTTTACTTATAAATTGATCCATGAATTTACCGCAATTAGATATTGAACATTTGGTTGACGCATTAAAGACTGGACCGTATGGTCGATGTGTTTATGAATGTGATAATGATGTTGCAGATCATCAGGTACGCGACGTTACCATGTGGAATCAATTATTCATTTGAGCTACTTTTAAATATAAAGTTCTTTTTTTATATGATAGGTTGTCAATATGGAATTTGCAAGTGGTGCTACAGCAACTATTACAATGGTTGCTTTTACTGAAGCTATATGTACAAGAAAGGTAGGAACTTACAAATCAAATATATTATTTCATTTTTTTTATTTAATAAAATAAATCTGATTGATTATTTTTTTGAAAAAAAAAATTGATATATACTGTACATATATATATTTAATTATTTATTTATATAAAAGACAAGGTAATGAATTCTATGAGAAAATTGTTTTTATTCTAGATATAAAATTGAATTAAAATTTTTATAATCTATTTAAAAAAGAATTTTTGGATCGCTTGGAGAGTTGGAATGCGATGGTTTAAACAATATAAGTTATTATAGTTTCCAAACAAAAAGGAAAGAAATTCTAAGAGCTACAGATATCATTGGTGGAAGTATTTCGGGCGGTCATGGTAATGTTAATATATATATATATATATTTATATTTATAATTTAAATCATTAAAGGTTATTATTATCAATTTTTAGGTGGTGGTGATTTTGGATTAATGCGATCATTTCTTTATGCAATTGCATCTGGCAATAATTCTCCTTTGTCAGGGGCCGAAGAAGCACTAGGTAGGTTAAATGAACCAGGAAAAATAAAGATTTACTCTGTGTAACCTTTATTAAACTTTTTTAATTCATAAAATAGATTCACATTTATACGTATTTGCTGCGGAAAATTCGAAAAGAACCGGGAAAGTTGTTAACATCGAACAATTTAGACATGAAAGTGAAATTGAAAATTAAGAATTAGTAAATCAAAATGTATCAAAAAATTCATCATTGAATTTTTTAATGTATAATTATTAATTTTTTCTTTTTTTCTAAAAAGATTTTTTTTAAAAAAAAAATCCAATTTAAAATAGTAAAATTATATTGTTCAACAATTAATTAGTATTATGCATTATATACATAACATTTCCCTTTGATTTCTTTGATTCCCTTTGATATATAATAATAAGATAAATAATATTACATGAATATATTAAGATATAAAATTAAATTCTTTAAATATATATATATATATATTTCGTTTCTAAAAAAGCAATTAATGATTAATCTATCCCTATTTACACTGGTAATTTTGATCCTGCCAGCTTATCAACGACCTAAAAAGAGAAAATGATTTAGATTTTTATTAAGAAAATGATTATAAAGATTTGAACATACGTTTGAAATATATGGCGCACAGAGTATAGTTCCAATTATCGGTAACTGTCGTGAAAACCTTATAATCACCGGGAAGAAATCCCTGTATTGAAAAAGAAAATAGAAATATAAATACATATTTTTTTAAAATTAAAATTACAATTATAGATGGATCAAAGATTATAATTTTCGGTCATACAATACCCAAATAAATTTAAGAAACCAAAAAATTCAACAATCATTCCCAAAAAAGGCCTTTTAAAGAAAACCAGCAATATTATTCCACCAAAGAAGAAGATTGTTCCTCGAATTTTATCTTTACGGGCAAAAAAAAATATGAGTGTTTTCTTAAATCCAATAATCAACGTTATACCTGAAAGAAATAATATCTGAATTGTTGAGGAAAAAAATGAAACGTTAATGTCAAAATTTATGAAGAAATTCTATAAAATCGTGATAAATCGTTTTAAACATACATTTCCTATAGCTAATAATCCACCATCAAAAAATAACAGAATACCAAGTACCATAATAATTATGCCAAATGCTGTTAGCCCAACCCCAATCTCTAAAAATTCGAGTAAAGTTAGTGAACGTATTGAACGAATTCAATCCAATAACAAAGATTTAAAAAATAAAAACATACTCTGAGTATCTGATAACCACATGGTTTAAATTTGTTTATTAGAATAAATGTAGAGAGTAAGAAAGCGACGTATAATTTAATAAAATTTTCGAGAGTTTTCCCGGAAAACGTGTCCATCTTAAATTGGCTGAAAAAAAACCTTATCCTCGATTTGGTAGCTTGGTAGCGATCTTTTTAGTTACACTTGGAACAGTTAATACAGTTGTACAAATCTAGCGTGTCAAAAGTTCCGAACACGACATGCTCCTATTTAAACCGCGATACGAAAACTAACTCTTTTTCATTTCCTTTTTAATAAACCATGTATTCATTTGCCAGCAAAATCTATAAAAGCGTAATCGGAAATTTTGAGGAACAGATATCTGAAGATGAAAATCCTAAAGACCAAACCACTTCAAGCGAGCAAACGAGTGTAAAGGTTTCGGTAATGAATGAAACTTCAAACAATCACATAGAGTTTGCGGTTCCAGCCCCTGTACCGAAAATGCAAGTATCCAATTATAACGGTATGTAAGAACTTTTTGAACTTTAGTCGCAACTCAGAGTTTCTCATGAAATTTTGTTTAATCTTATCTATAGGCACAACATTGGATGATGTTCCAGAATTCCTAAGCAGCGACAGCCCACAACGTGCCAAAAAACGAACTCCACTCGAGAAAGCTAACAAACTACGACAAAAAATAGCTCTCGAACCAGGTTGCTCTCCTTTAGACTGGGCAAATTTGACCAGTAGTGGAGCTAATCTTCGAGTAGGTCAAAGAATTTCATTTTCCTATATCGGATTAGAACTTAATTAAAATTTTGTTAACAGGGCGTTTCGGAAATTAGAAAGTATACAATCAACGAAGTCAATCATCATAAAACCAAAGAGGATGCTTGGACGGTCTTTAATGGCAAAATCTATAATATTACTCCATATATCAAATTTCATCCTGGGGGTAAGTAGACAAGAATAATTTTTATGATATGTTTATAAAAATTATTAAAAAAAAAAAATAAATATTGATTATTTCAAAAGGTGAAAAAGAGTTAATGAGGTCAGCTGGTAAAGACGGGACTAAATTATTTAGTAAGTTGAACTATTATATATTTTTATGTATGTATATATTTATTTTCGCAAACTTTAATTTTTTTTTATTTTTCCTTTAGTGTCAACACATTCATGGATAAATTATGAATTCATGCTGGAAAAATGTTTTGTCGGTTTTTTATCAGGAGAGCAGCGTAATTTATTAATTTAAATACATAGAACAATTATATGAACATTTTATTTAATTAAATCATTGCAAATGTGACACTCTCATAATTTTCCTTGTTCTCTTAAATCTTGTTTCTCTTTATCGCTAAGTGTCCAGAATTCACTAATTTTACGATGATACCAACTTCGTACCTAAATTATTCAGGAGATTAAATGAATTTCAAACAGTCATTTGGAAAAATGATTAAATGAAACTTACAGGCACAAAACAATGATGATCTTGTTTAAAGTCGGCATATAACACGATGTACGCTCCAGCAGCTAATACATAAAAAACATTTATAATAGTTCAAAGTTCGAAAAACCAAGTTATTGGGATGAAAAAAGCCATGTCAGATTTAGAAGCTCGTAACTTACCTACGGTTAAAATTATACTACCAACATGGTAAGTTCTTGAATAAGGTGATAAATATTTTGCTAAACCTAAATTTTGTACTCTTCTTTGATACTTTGAAAATAACGAAGAATCTATTACTTTTTTTGTTGGAATTGGTGATTTTGAAGCGAATTTATTTACTGGCATTATTCTTTTAATACATACAGTTAATATATATATATGACAGTGAAAAAAAAAAAAAAGAGAATACAAATAAAAAATGACGATCTCCTCCCATAAATGACAAAATTGACGCCAATCCAATCAAATCCACGATATCGTCCATCTATTTATTCGGGTTGCAAAAGACAACCACTTACAATTCTTTTTCTAAATTCGTTAACATAAATATCCATATTTTCGGTATCGTCCAATTTAACGGTAGAAGACATCACGGTAGGTCCAATTTCTTTTTCTAATCGAAATAACGATGATTTGATCTTTTCAATATAATCCCTTAATTCATTATTTAATTCTTGTTTTTCGTTAGATTTTTTCGTAACGACTTCATTATTTGATTTAATCTCTCGAATTTTTTCACGAAGATTATCGATTTCCATTGAAGTTATTTTGTTTTCTTTTTCATGTTTTCGTTGTTGAGTTCGTTTACCTAGGAATAAATAAATAAATAAATATTTTGGATTTTGAAAGAGTTGACGAATTTTTGATAATTACTTTGATCATAATTGAGAAATTTCTTTGTAAAAATGGGAAATCCAAGACGTTTTTGTAGACTCTCTTGTTCATCTGTAAATAAACAAAGGTTTTTAATTTTTGGGATCCCATTGCTATCAACTAATGTGAACGATTTTACCTTTACCAGGAGAATTATCAAAGTTTAAGGTATTGACGAAATCTTCATAAGATGCTTCAACATTCTATACCAGAAAAAAAAAGGGTTAATTCAACTCCAGCGTATTATGATATTGTGACATGACAACACACACCTTTCGATTAATCGATTTTGAAGTCACGATAGTAAATCCCTTTTTATTTCCGTTATCGTTAATATCTAAAGAATATTCGGATGAATCAGAAGTTTGTTCATTATAATCTGCTACTTTCCTTCCACTTCTAGTTAGACGTTGTTCTTGTTTAGAAGAATGATCATTTGTTGTTATCGACGTGGTAACAGGAGTAACGGAAATGTATGAAGCTTTTCCTGAAGATTTTTTTGTTGTATTCGTGCTATTACTCTGACTAGAAATAATGATCCGCCAATGCAAAATTTATCCGTTACAAACGAGAAATTTTTAGAAAAAAAAAAAGCTATTGATATTTGAAATTTTTTTTCTTTTACCTCATACTTTTTGCGCGTTGAGCTCGTGTAAGGGTCATTTTATGATTATTTCTTTTTTATTTATATTTTTGAATAATTATAATTATTAAAAAGAGAAATCAAAAAGAGACGAAAAGATAATATCCTTTGCTGGTAAAAGAATAAAAAGTCTTATTTTATTTATCTATTTATTTTCTCATTGTTAAAAGACCGATATGTGCATTGTAATCATATTTATGTACCATTTGCGTACGTTTTTTATGTTGATTGAGTATTATCTATAATATTTCCAAAAAGTGACAACAAGAACATTTTTTTGTAAGGGGTTTACGATTCTGAACTTGAATTGACGTTTTCTCCGTCAATATGTACAACAATTTCATACTATTTTTATTTATTAATTTATTTTTTTCGTATTTTAAAAGCCGTTAGAAACCTTGATATTATTTAATTAATTTGGTAAAATATATATATATATATATATATTCCTCATTCATGTAAAGGTTCCCATTTACAAAATTTAAAATCAATATATTTTTTATATCTTTTTATAATTTTTTTCATATCTTTAGTCGTAATTTAAAAATAAATGTTTCACCAAAATATATATATCACGTGCTCAATTAACTTCCTCTTCTTTTTTCAAATAAACACTCTTATTAATGGCCTTTCCTTTGTTTTAAAGTAGTCAAGACTTTAGTTTAATTTCATCATCTGTCATCATTTTTTTTATATCGGATTCGGTAAGAGAGTCTTTTCCATCAAAATGAGCTAAACGATGACGGGCACCGCTAATTTCCCTCGTATACGATTTATAATTCCTCATACTTCCAAATTGGTCATGAATAGCTTTTAACGAGGGATAAAGATGGACCAATCCCTCAGATTAATGTTTATCTGAAAGAAAAAAGATAAATTCAAATGTTAATATTAATTTTATTGCTGATTGATAATTGTTGTATACATATATACAGTATATTGTACAAGTTTTTATTGAATAGGTATAAAACAATTCTATTCCCAAAACGGCTTTTTTTATAAAAAAAATAATTAATTAATTAAATAATATTTTAATTATTACTCCAATGAATTGAAATAATTTATTTATATAATCTAAAATCAAATAGTTTTTAAAACATAATTAATAATAGGTGAACAACGAAGTAATAGAGATTTCGTAATCGAATAAAACCGGATGCTATTTTTCGATTTTAATTTAAAAAAATTCAACAAGCAATTTTTTTTGGTTTACCCTTTCGGAAAATATTTATTTTCCTTCAAAAAGGGTAAGTCTAATAGTTTATTCCCATACTAATTTTTTTTTTTTTTAAGTTTAACGATATGGTAATATGAAACCGACTATCTACGCAAACAAAAAGAAGTAACTTAAATAAGTTCATAAAATACTAATTGAACCCGTCATCAATTTGGAACAATCCTACAAAGAGTGAAACATTATCAGGTGGTAGCGGAAATGATAGGATTTAAATTACGTCGTAATAAATTAACCTCCCGGTATTGATAGTGGATGTGAACTAAAATATGATTTTTAATTAGATGATTTATTTTTATATAAACTCGGATATGGAAGGTTGTGATCGAAGAACCGATGAAAGCATAAAAAAAAACTTAAAATACAGAAACTGACATTCAAGGAGACAAATTACTAGACTAGGTTCACTCACAAAATATCTTGAAATTTCCATTTAGCATTTTTAATGCTGTAAATTAAAAAATATTTATCAATCATAATAAATTCCTATTATCTAAATGATTATCAATATATTAAATTAACGTTTTGATTTTCCTGCGCATCAAAAATTTTTCTGACCAATAGTTCCAAATTACGAATTTTGATAAAAATGATCGTGCATGCGCCACAGACGAAATTTTATTTCTTTTCCTTAAACTTCATTTGAATTTTAAAAAATTATATTACATAGGTACATTTTGCTCTTGAAAATTCACCACATTTTTTGCAAAATTGCGTCACATATATTAAAACTATATAATCACAAGAAATTAGATCTCGAGTAAATTCTCGCAGTACCAATTTTTGCCACGTTCAATGCGCGCCACTTTTCTTAAAAATTTTGCGCCTAATGCGATTATTAAAATCGCGCTAAATTGATTTGAACTTATTTATTCTTCCTTTTCCTATTCTTATCCTAATAAATATGTCAACTACAGAAGCAAAGATAACAGAAGAATACCCACCAGTTAGAACGGGAGGATCCTTATTGTTAGCCTGGCGTACCAATTCCAAGCATATTTTGATCGTTGGAGGAGGAGAAGTCGCATGTGGAAGGGTTTTAAAAGCACTTGAAGCTGATGCAAGAGTAACGTTAATTTGTCCCGAAGAAGGATTACATCCAGAATTAAAGTTTCGTATATCAAATGATCAAATTTATAAGTATATCAATAGAGAATTTGATCCAATAGATTTAGAAGAAGACATTGACATGGTATTAACGGCTATAGATGATCCAATCAAGTCCAAAGAAATATATGAATTAAGTAAAGAAAAAAAACTTCCAATCAATGTAGCCGACGTACCATCACTATGTGATTTTTATTTTATGTCAGAACATAGGGATGGTCCTTTACAAATTGCTGTTAGTACTAACGGTCAAGGACCTAAATTAGCTAATATTATTCGTAGACATATTTCCGAAAACCTTCCCAATGGTGTTGGTGAGGCTATTAATAAAGTTGGACATTTAAGGCAAAATATACGTAAAATTGATTCGGATTACAAATCTTCAAGTAAAAGAATGCAATGGATGTCAAAAATTTGTGAAGATTGGTCTATTGAAGATTTAAAACGATTGGATGATAATGTGATTGAAGCTTTATTACCTTATTATGAGAAACGTGTCATTCCCAGTTTTAACACCATTAAACAAGAAACCTTTTTAAGTGATAAATTGGAGGAGGCAACGAAAGAGATGAACATTGAAGAAGATGAGCATAAAGAGACAAAAAAGGGCCAATTAATCTTGGTTGGGGCAGGCCCGGGAGATCCTTCTTTATTAACACAAAAGGCAATAGAAGCTTTGTCTAATGCGGATTTAGTCGTATCAGATCTTTTGGTTCCTAAAGAAATCTTTTCAGTTGTAAAATGTGAAACACGTTTTGCTTTAGCAAAATCTGGTTCACAAAAATCTGTCAAATCTGATGAATCACAAAAAGAGATACAGCATTGTTGTTTAGAAGGTTTAGAAAAAGGCAAAAATGTTGTAAGATTAAAGATTGGTGACCCATTTTTATTTGGCAGAGGGGGGGAAGAAGTTTCTTTTTTTAAGAAGAAAGGTTTTGAAGTGAATGTTGTACCCGGCATCAGTAGTGCCTTATCTGCTCCTATGTCAGCCAATGTACCGGTTACTCATAGAGGTTTATCTGATCAGGTTTTAATTATTACTGGACAAGGAACTCAAGGGAAATTACCACAAGTTCCTCAGTATCATGATATGCGTACCACGGTTGTGCTAATGGCGGTTGGAAAGGCCAAAGAATTATCTAAAGAATTATTAAATAATAATTATCCCGACGACCTTCCTGCTGTTTTTGTGGAGAATGGAAATCGTCCTAATGAACGTATCATTCGCGCTACGGTTGCTACTTTGGGTGAAATGGTAGAAAAAGAATGCGTTGTAGCACCTTCAACTCTCATCATTGGAAGAGCCGTTAACGCTCTACTTGAGTGAAATTATAATTGAGGAGGCAACACATTTAACCCTTTTAAGATAGATATTTGAAAAGTCTGATTTTACTTTCTCTTTTTTTTTTTTTTTAAAAAAAAAAAATTTATTTTATTGTATTTATTAAATCACATCAATATTACATAACAAATAAAATTTCATCTGTAAAAAGTCAGATTCGAACCGTCTTTATTATCATTATCATTAATATAATTAAAGTAAAAGACAATACATAATAATAATAACTATATATGTGACATTGCTCACTCCTTTTGATGTATAATTACAAACGTCTACCTCTACGACCACCCTTTCTTCGAGCTGCACGGAAAAAAAAAATATAAATTAATTAGAAATTAAAAAATTTATCGGTTTTCCCATAAAGCTTTGCAAAAAAAGGTACTTACTGCTATCAGTAGGAATAGGTGTGACATCTTCAATTCTACCAATTCTCATACCAGCTCTTGCTAAAGCTCTTAAAGCAGATTGGGCTCCAGGACCGGGAGTTTTTGTACCATTACCACCAGTAGCACGTAATTTAATATGTAAAGCTGAAATCCCCAATTCTTTACATTTTGCTGCTACATCTTGAGCCGCCAACATAGCTGCATATGGTGATGATTCATCACGATCCGCTTTCACTTTCATGCCACCTTAAATATTTTAACAAGAGAAGGGAGGAAAAAAAAAAAATATATTTCCCAAAAAAAAAATGACATTTTGGGAAAAAAAATCATTGATCAGTATTCTTTCATGGGAGTATGTGTTTCACCACTAAGTCCCATATAATATATATATATATTTTTAAGGAATATATTTTTGATTGGATTTCAAAGTTGTAATAAGTATAGGTTCTTTTCCAACAATGTTAATATCCAATTTATATTTCCCTCATGGTAATCAGTTATCAAAAAAAAAAAAAAAAAAAAGACTAATTTTAAATTATAAACGCACCAGTAACACGAACAATAGTTTCTTTTCCCGATAAATCAGTTACATGAACAAATGTATCGTTAAATGAAGCAAAAATATGTGCTACTCCAAATACGAGTTCTCCTTCTCGAACTTGTGGTCCAAGTGAGATATTTTCCTCAACTTTAACTTTCTTTGCTTTTTTACTCTGGATAATCAAAAAATATCGAACAGTTAATTTAAAAGGAAATAATCTATTGGATCGAATTATATAATGGATGTCAAAATAAAAGCATTCAAACTCACCATTTTGTGCTTCTATTTAACTAATAAACTATTTTCTCTTTTTTTTATGAAGTCAGAGAAAGGATTGAAGGAAAAAAAAAATATTTTTTTATTATATAATGTATGATCATCTATTTTTTTTTTAATCTAATTTTAATTGACCAATAAAACAACCTCCACGAGAAAAAATTTTTTTTTTTATAAAATCTAATAATTTTCTTATATTTTTTTGTTAGTAAAGCAATGTATTCCATGTTGGAACCACAAATATTATTATGACGTTGAGACAAATGCGACTGTAAGAAATTTTATTATAGAAAGATAGAAAAAAATATGTACAGTGTTTTTAAAAAAAATGACGGATTGTAATTAAAATTGATTTAAAATACTAAATTTAATCCCCAATTTTATTTTAATATTGATCACGCATACCGTTGAAATAATATTTAAAAAGAAATCATAAAAAGTCACGTATAGTTAATGTGATGCATTTATTTAAATGATCAAGAGTGCTTTTCAACTTGTTATATATTCTTAATTCCTTGAAATAATCTAAAGCCAGCATCAATATAATCTTGCGTTGGAATTTCGATTTCACTTCTTTCAATAGTACTCTCCATGGTTTGGATATGTTCATCTTTTTACGCCTATAATTCATCTCTTTCGAAAGAAGATGAACATGTTTGGCGCTCGTTTTTTTTTTGTTGAAAAATAATTCTATCAAAATATCTTCAAATCTATGATTTTTTAACCAGTTTTTCTTTTTTGTTCCGTATATGAATATGTCATTTAATTTCTTGAATCAACTAATAATCCTCAAGTTCCAACGAAGGTCTCATTTGGACGAATTCTGCCACTTTGATGGTTGGTTGAATATCTTTTAAGCTTTAATACATTTCTTGTAGTACCAATAGAATCTTTGGTATTAATGTTGGTAAACAAGCTCTAAGGTATTTTGAATTTTCAAAAAATACGTCTATGTATAAATTTAAAATTTCAAAATTTTATACCTTAGCTACGTTAGATAAGATATCTTCTATAAGAAAAGTCCGCATAATAATGTAAATTTGGAGTTTTTTTTTTTATTTCGTAATAAAAGAGAACAAGAATTTTGTTGCGCATTAGATATGAATAGTGTTGTAAACAATACATAGTAATAACAATTATAACTATTTGAAGAAGAATTTTGTGCACATAATTAACATAACGTTTAGTTATTAAGTTTTACTCAGTTAAGGAGTTGTGTAAAGTTGGTAGAATAGTTATTTTAGTGTATAACATCAGAATTTAAAGGAAACAACGGTTAGGTTTTAACGTTGTCGTTAGATAACTTAGATAAAAATTTTTTTTAAAAAATTTTTACCAAAATATACCGATTTTTTTTTTCCTCCATTTACTTTATACTTTTTTGTTGTGTCACCAAACCCCTTAATTGTGAAATGGACACACGAAAATACGCCGATCGTGATAATGATAACATGCCTTTAAAAATAACGCGCAAATTTTGCACTTTAAATCAAAACCAATTTCCCATTCATGCGATTCGATTATATAATTCAAAATCTAATTCATTGAGCTATTCTTTTTTAATACGTCGCAAACTAACAACTTCAACGAAAACGACTTCCACTCAAACTGAAACGTTAAAAGGCTGGCGTAAATACGCGGCTCAATTTCGCTCAAAACCTGGATCATATATTACTTCATTTGCAATTTTACATGAATTAACGGCTATAATTCCTATCCCATTAGTTTATATTTTCCTTTCCGCTACAGGAATCCAAATCCCTTTTCCTCAACAAATACTTGATGAAGGAAATAAATTTATTAATAAAGCGGTCATTTATTATGGTTATCCGCCTTTTAAGAATGGCAGTAAAATCGCATTGAATGCTGCTACAAGTTATGCCGTCGTTAAGGTATTCAAATATATGAGGAATAACTTATAAATTTATCTCTCTCTTATGTAATAAAGTTCAACATAAAAATATTATTTTTTTTCTTTGTAAAGGCGATAATGCCTTTACGTATCGCAGCTTGTGTATGGATGACTCCATGGACCGCAGAGAGAATCATAGGTCCAATCATGGGAACATTTAAGCGTATTGTAGGCAAAATTAAAATGCATTAAAACAAACTATTTCTTTGTTGTTTTAATAAACCTCTTTCTATTTGATCATAAAAATATCTGCTCATTACTTTTTCTTTTCAAGTAAATCTTTCACATTTTCTCTAACAACCTCATCCAAAATGTGGTAAATTTTTTTACATCCAGTAGTTGCCATTTCCATGACTGATTGAAATTTATCAACATGTAATCGAGATTCCATCTATTATAAGTGAAAAAGATTTTAACCCGTTTAAATCAAAAAAAATTTATACCCAAATCTTCTCCTTACCTGTAACAAAGTAATTTTACCAGTTTTCGGTAATAATGCCACGGTTAATTCTGGTGTATCATGTGACTCTTCGACATAATTCAAGTCTAAAACCGGTTCATTATCTATACATCCAGCCGAACAAGCACAAACATAATCCACCATTGGTATACCTGCATCGATTAATGCCAATGTTGCAGCATTTATACAAATTTGAATCGTGCCTTAAACAAAAAATGAATTTGCTTTTGTTATAAATTTCACGTATTATAAAGTCATAATTTGTCCAGAGACTTACCTCCATCAAATTGTAAAATTTGTAGATAAATATCAATTTGAGATCTGGCAAACAATTCTGTCTTTATAATTGTTTCAAATGTTTGTTTTACCGCTGATGCAATTTCTAGTATACGTCTAATGATGGTAAAAGACAATTGTGTCAATTCATAAGCATACGGAAGAAAAATAAGAAAGAAAAATAATTAAAATATTTGTCTTTTACTTGTCAGATTTGGATCTTTTTTTTCTTTCACTCATACAAAACGGAGCTAAAGAAATCTCTACATTAATGTTTGCCCTGTTGTGAAGTACTTGAGCTTTTGTTCTTGCCTGCATTAAAACAAATTAAAAATACAATACAATTCAAATAATCTTTTTAAGCCACGTCAAAAGAATTGACATACCTCTCTAGGTCCATAAACGGCAGCCAAACATTTCGTATTCCCTTGCTCAATGTAAGCTGAGCCGTCAGCCTGACTTAATACGGAAGGTTTACAGTTTATTTTACGTAATTCCTTAACGCGTCGACCATCGTTACGAAGACCTATATGGTAAATGATAAATTAATCCTCATAAATAAATATGTTTGGGTAAATCTATAACTAATTATTTACCTTGAGGACCTATTAACTCTAATCGCGACTTTAAGTAATTTAATTGAAAATGTTATTAATAAATTGTTTTGTAAATATAAACCGGAGAAAAAAATCTTACCATTGAAATGAAAAATTTCAAATTCTAGATACTAGTGGAGGGGTGATATTAACTAATTGGCGCACCAATTATAAAGTTCATATGATTTCTATGATAGGACAGATATAAATAGATATAGTAACAAATCGAAAAAAATTTCGTTTTTTGTTCCTTTCATCAATAAAAAGAAATATACTTCGTTTTTTATCACTTCACATTCTTTTTAATCTTAAAATGTCATTTGACTTAAGGCGATTTGTAGAACGACTCGTAACAGTATATACAGCACCAAATGAGTTTCAAGAGGGCCGTTTTTTACTCATCCTTAAGTCAAACTGTCCGGTAGGAGCAGAATTATGGCTACAATATAAAAAAAGAGTAGCAACAAATTCGACACCATTTAAAGAAAAAGAAGCAACAAGACAATGGGACGATTCTCCAACTTCTTCCTGTGGTATGGATGCTTTTATTACATTATTAAATGCTACTTCATATAATCAGGTACTATTTGAATGTTTAGCAGAAGTTGTTACACCTTCAAGAGAATTGGTTATTAGATGGATGGCACCTTACTTGAGAAGATTTAGCAAATATATCCCCTCCCAAAATATGTGGTTGTGCGATCAAAAAAGAATGGGTCCTGAATATATGAACAGAGATGTTGGTGAAATGTATTTAAGACAAGGTATTTGTGAATGTGTTGACGTATTAAGACAATTTAATGGAAGGGAAGAAGTTATTAATGTTGCATTAGAAGTTTTGGAAGGTGTTCAAATGCCAATGTATTTAAAAGTTATGTTGAGAGGAATTTCTGATGAAGAGTTTCCTTGGTAAAATTAAAAATCATTTAATAAATCGGCGGTCCAAATTTTGCGAATTTTACAAATCAACCAAAAATAATAATAATAAATACATGAATTTGTTCAGTTATTCATTCATGTTACAAAATTAACAATTAAAAGAGTCTGTATGCAATTGTGACGTCACGCGCGAACCATTTAGCGAATGAAATAGTTAAAAAATCGATGCGTTTAACATTGCTAAAACAAAAAAATAGATTTCAGGTTATACTTCCTCTAAAAGTTAATGTCATTATTCTGTCTGAACTACTCTACTACCTAATTATCTTCATTCCTTTAAATTTATTCCCTATACTCCTTGATTTCAATGATGATAATCTGGTATGTTATTCTATTATATTGATATATTCAGTAGAAAAGGGGAAACCCAAATTTTGGTCAAAATTTATATTTTTGGACCACTTGGCTGATCTCAGTCATATGCACAAAATTAGATTAATAAGATTTCTCCTTTTCTACTAACCTACCTCCCATTTGAGTAGCAAAATGATTTAACCGAAATATCTTCGCGGTTTATTAACTTTTAATAAAATTCTATCTATTGATATACATTTCTGTAAATCACTTCGCTTTTAAAATCCAAAGAAGCCTTTGATATCATTGTATTTAAGTGATAGAATTTTCAATAACAATTGATTAAGTAACTTAAACCATCTAGATACATAGCTAACACAACTTTGGTAATTAATGCTTAACTTCAAAGGAAGATCTTTATATTCAGTGAGGAATTAACCATTTCAAATTAATTAATCTAAAAAAAAATGTTCATTTTTTTTATCAAAAAATAATGTCTTAAAGAAGTTTAATACCTTCTTGAATAAAAAAGTCTGAGTTGGTAAATTAAATTCTGTTGAAAGAAAACAAAGATTGTAAATAGAGTGTAATAATAATATTGTCAGAAATGCTAAAACTTGGTAAAACTAATATTTGAAAAGTTAAGTTAAAATTAAAAATCCAAAATTGGTAAAACTAGTTTAAGATAATGAAAAAATAGTTTTGATAAGCATAATTAAAGTATAATAAATAAGGTTGATTGATAAAATTTAAGGTTTAGCCAGATGTCTAAATGATAAAGGTAAAACATGATTAAATTATATTAAAATCTTATTAAAAAATCTGCAAAATTCTGAAAAGGTAAAACTATATAAAAACTTATAAAATAGTAAAATTAAACCTTAATAAACATTTAGCCAAATCCAAATAAATTAAAATAAGCAATCTTAATGATAAGTTTATTTAAAAATTATTATATCTGATATTAATTAATAACTTAAGTCAATATATAATTGGATCATTATATGGGAGCTTTGCAATAGAAAGGAAGGAAACTCTAAAAATATATATTTTTAAGTTAATGTTAAATCTGGACTTATTTTATTTTAATTTTTTTAGAGTTTCCTTCCTTTCTATTGCAAAACTCCCATATAACCAAAAATATAATTAAAGTTATTTGAATCTGATCTTTATAAGCATGATTCATACAGGTATTTGTAGATCATCATTTATCATAATAGAAAAGTGTTAAAACTTAAAATATATTATATTAATAAATAAATCATTAAAACTATTGGATAATTTATTTATTAAAATATTGATTTAGAAATCTAAATTTATATTGATAAAATTTCTAACTTTAGTAAAGAGGATATTATATTTGTTAATAGATATAATGATTAATTGTGATCTATATTCAATACAAAAAATTAAAAATTATGTCAAAAATATAAAAGCTATTTATTCATTAAAGGTTTTTATTTATATTTGAGAATAAATTCTATAATCTTATTAGCAATTTATTGTTTAATAAAAAATTTGTTATAAAGAGCAGAAATTTATATTTCTAAGTAAAATAAAGTAATTACTATAAATAAAATGTTTATTATGATAGCTTCTGATATTAAAAAAAAAATTTATTATGATTTATTTTTTATTAAATTAAAATTTAAGAAAGATAATATTATATGAAATATTTTCATTAGATTTTTAATACTATCAGTAATTTATATTATATCAATTATATATATTGAGTTTGAATTTAATGTTACAATTTCAGAAGTTACTATATTATTAACATTAGATTTTCAGTAAGTAACCAATATTTTATAACTAAAGTTTGATCTTTATATTCTAGATAAGAGTAAATCATAATAAATTACTTATATAAAAAAAATATCAGTTCTCTTATATCTATATATTATATAGATTAGTATTATATATAATAAAAATAGAATTTTTTCTATTTAAAAATTAATTTGTTATAATATTTATGATGGCTTTATCAAACAATGTAATTCTTGGTATCAAACAGGTTAATTCTTAACCAATTTCGATATCATAATCTAGATTTGAGTCAAAATGGGTTAGAGATTTTGTCCTAAAAATCCTATTTTTGCCATAGTAGACTTATTAGAATTATATTTAATTTTATGAATTTTTTCAAAATAATTAAGATGATAGTTTACATTAACTTTAATTTTCATTATATGGAGGCAGTCAGTAGAAAAGGGAAAAATCTAAATTTTAATCAAAATTTATAATATTAGACTACTTAGCTGATCTTAGTCATATACACAAAATTAATTTAATAATTAAAATTAACAAAATTTTGGATTTCACCTTTTTCTACTGACTGCCTCTCATATATTAAAATTTATTTTTAATGTTAGTAATTTTATCAAATAAATTATTTATTGAAATTTTATTTTATCTAAATATTCAATAAGTTGTTTAATAATATTAATTATTTTAGAAGTTTAAATAAATTTAGATAAAAATAAAGAATTAATATTATTCTGATTTGAAATGATTATAAAGTGGTTTAGGATTTACAAATTTAATTTATAATTTAAATAATCTTTGAATTTGTGATTTAGAATATTATATTTACATAATATTTATTTGAAAAATATATTTTTATATAA